GTTCTTCTGAGGTTCCTTTGAGGTTCTTCTGAGGTTCCTCTGAGGTTCTTCTGAGGTTCCTCTGAGGTTCTTCTGAGGTTCCTCTGAGGTTCTTCTGAGGTTCCTTTGAGGTTCTTCTGAGGTTCCTTTGAGGTTCCTTTGAGGTTCTTCTGAGGTTCTCTGATATGATGTTTTTTGTTTTATACTCCATACACTGTGAAATTATTGCGTTGTAATAGTTCTTCCTGCATGTACAGACAGCCTCAGGGCCTACTGACATTTGACCAGTATTATCTCTCCAGCTGACCCATGGCCTGCACTACCTAGTGTAGATACTTACAACATAGCCAAACCTGACACAACGGTGAGGATATAGGTGGCTCCTTTAGCTCTTTGAGACACCAGAGGATAAAACGTAAAGCAGATCTGTCATATAAACTAAAACTAAACCATCTGTATAAAGTACTGCCACTTAAAGGTGCCTGCAAATACTTGCAGCAGACTCTTAAGTCCTGCCTTTCACGTCCAAATGCGGGGCTATTGAGATGGACAAAGCTGTGACACTTCCTGATGGTATCGAGGCTTGCCCATTTCTCTCCACCTTCCACACAGATTGCTTTTGGCCAGTGAGACGGCCATTATAGTAAAGTGCCACTGCCAACGGGAATATGTGAGAAGCAGCATGGACCAGGCAAGCTTACACTCTACAAGGGAGTGTTTGAGCTCTGCCCATCAGAATGAACCATAATTTGGGTATACTGGTAGAACCTGCAGCCTGCTTCCTGGTGGTGTCAAGGCTTACCCATTCCTTCCACCTCCCACACATTATTTTTGGCCAGTGAGGCAACTCATCATAGTAAAGGGCCAACAGAAATGTGTGGGGGGCAGCATGGACCAAGCAAGCTTTCATGTTAGAAGGGGGGTGCTGGAGCTCTGCCCATTAGAATGAACCATAACTTGGGTATACTGGCAGAACCTGCAGGCTGCTTTTTGGCTGTGTCAAGGCTTGCCCATTCCTCCCACGTCCAACACAATCCCTTTGGCCAGCGAGGCAACTCATTGCAGTAATGGGCCAACAGAAATGTGTGGGAGGAAGAATGGACCAGGCAAGCTTCTACATTACAAGGCCAGTTTTTTTTTTGGCCAGTGAGGCAACTCATCATAGTAAAGGGCCAACAGAAATGTGTGGGGGGCAGCATGGACCAAGCAAGCTTTCATGTTAGAAGGGGGGTTGCTGCAGCTCTGTCAATCAGAATGGACCATAATTTGGATATACTGGCAGTACCTGCAGGCTGCTTTTTGGCGGTCTCAAGGCTTACCCATTCCTCCCACCTCCCACATATTATTTTTGTCCATTGAGTCAGCCCATTATAGTAAAGGGCCAACAGAAACGTGTGGGAGGAAGCATGGACCAGGCAAGCTTCTACACTATAAGGGGTCAATCAGAATGGACCATAATTTGGGTATACTGGCAGCACCTGCAAGCTGCTTTTATGAGTTGGGTACTTTGGACACCATATAT